GGAGCAAAAGGACGAGGGATTCACAGAGGCCGGGCCAGCCCTGAAGCCCCTGGACAAGCCTGTTGGGCCCCTCCCAACTGAGGGTGGCCCTGCACAGCCAGAGCAGAGCCCAGGGTGAGCCGCGCAGGTGTGTGAAGCGGGCACCCCATGTGGGGCAGAATGCGGTCCAGAGGGGCCTCGCTGTGGCCACCACCTACGGACCAGAGCCCAGGGCCAGGGTCTCATGGACCCCCTGACTGAGGAGAGCCAGACAGGGCCTATGGACCAAGCAGAGGCTGGTGTGGACTCGGCCAGGGCCTGCTCCCTTTTCCTTTGACCTGGGGCACAAAGGTCCCCGCTGTGTGGGACTCACCAACTGGACGCTTTCTACTCCTCCCACAGCTCCCAGGCCCTGAAACTTTCCGTCCACCTCGTCCTTCTTGGCCTCACCAGCCCTGCCCCAAAGTCCTCCGCCCACCTGGCCTGGTGGGGGCTGGTGTGAACACCTGGAGCGCAAGGCTGGGCTGGTTTTACTCAACATCATGAAGTCTGATGTCCGCACAGAACCTGGCGTGGTGCCGACACCATGTGTATGAGCACACGGTCAGAGGCGTGGACGGATGACAGCAGGTGACCGCAAGGCCATGCTGGCCACCATGCAGCTAGGGGCAAGGTGGGCTCCAGGAGCCCGGTCTTATTGGCATGGGGTAAGGAGCTCTCGGCCACCAAGGTACCGAAGGAAGAGGTAGGGACCCCTCCTCCCTGGGCCTGTGAGGGTGGTCCTGGACACACAGGCGCTGGCTCCCTCCCGGGCGGGGTGGTGGCTGCCGTCCCTCCAGAGCCCAGTCACGGGGCCGATGTGCCTGCACAGCTGACACTGGGCTCTCAGTAGGCAGAGGCAGCAGGGAGGCCTCTGGGCTGGGCGAGGGTGCAGGCAGCTGGACCCCTGACCCTTAGCAGAGCGAAGGGGAGGCGGAGGCCCCGTCACTGTCGCAGGAGGCACAGTGGGCAGCCAGGGTTGGCACGGGGGAGGGGCTGGCCGGGCGCCCACTCCTTCCCGGGGCTCGTTGGGAGGCTGGCTCCCTTTCCATGGTGTGCGGAGTTGCGGAAGGCTTTATGTCAAGAGGCAGAAAGGCCCATGAATATTTCATTAGGGAAGCGATGTGGGGCCGCCGGGAACAGCTGGCAGGAGTCTCTAGGGAGCTCCGAGCCGGCGCGGGAAGCAGGGACTGTGAAATTTGGAGGTGGAGGGAGGAGGGTTGCGGCAGGCAGGAGGGTCCCTGTTGCTGCTGTGGCCTGGCAAGCCTGCTCCCCTGGCAAAGGCCAACCCTGTGTGGGGGCAGCTGTGGGTGAAACAGTGGGGGTGACGGCAGGACCAACTTCCTCAATTCCCAGACAGTCCCCTGCCCACCCTTCCTACTCAGGCCCATGGCCAGGTCACAGCAGCGGAGGGTGGGAAGGGGCCTGAGAGAGGGTCTTGATCTGGGGTCAGGCAGGGCTGGAACGGGGTGCCGCAGGGGCGGCACACACCCGGGACGTGGGATGGGGCTGTGGCTGGGGCCAGGGCACCTGTTGCTGGAAGCCCAATGGGCAGCCAGGACCCCCAAAGCCCCTCAGTGGGCGAGCTGCCTGCTGGGTTTTCGGGCCTGCGGGTGAGGGGGTGGGGGGTGGGAGGTGAAGGGCTGGACCTTGCCCAGCAGAGTGGGAGAAGCCTGGTCCCCAATCCAGGCACTCTCTGTCGTGGGGGCCGCAGCTTCCAGCTTGTCCCACCATGGGGACCATTTTCCAGGTCCCCTGGAGCCCTCGAGGGAGGGGCACCCACTCACACCACTCTCCTCACAACGGAGGTCTGGGACCTGCAGGTCCTGATATCCCACCCAGCACAGACCCAGGCCAGGGGGTTCCACCCAGCACCTCGCCCACCCAAGTCTCCTCCGG